GTTCCATTATCCCGAGCGGAGCCGCAAGTACCTATTTATCGGCCTGTTTCGAAAAGAATCAATTCACGTCGCGCCAGCGAAGGGAGTACTAGTGGGTCGATGATTAATAATTTTGAAACGGCAAGCTATCTTAGCACAGATGCGCTTAGATCCTGCGAGCCACGTTCCAGATTCGGTATCGATTCCAGAAGGGATTCTTCTTCGATCCATGCCAACGATCCATCCTCTTACGAATCCAGTTCTACTCTAGTCGGGAACGAAGGGAATGAAAGTAGGAACGAAAATGGAAGGAATGGAAATTTGAGCGGCCACAGAACGAATAGTGGAACGAGTTCAACTGGCGGAATAAATATAGGAAATATCGATGATTCGATTATCATGACGAGGCTTCGCAAAAGTTTCGAGCAAAAGGAAGAATTTTTACGACGACCGAGCCAACCGATCGGTTGGTTTCTACCTGAAGAGAGATCGGAATCTCCTGTTCGAAGCAATAACAACGGAACTGTTATTCCAAGAGAATTCTACGCGAGACCGCAGAAATTTCAGAAACAAGTTTGGCCACCGACCGATTCGAAGCAAGATCAACAATTGTCGATATTGAAAAGTGCTCAAAATAGTAACAGAACTTTTCCTGGAAAACTTGTGTCCGATCCAAAATCCTCGTCTAATCAGAACGTTCAAAGAACGAAGAGCAGTAACGATGGGGCAGAAGAAATTGATTATTTTACTTGCCGAAATGAACAAATCGAAGAAACTTCTAACACGACTCATCCTCTGGAGTATATGCATCAGCAAATTGTAACACCTAACGTATGTGATCGTTTAAGTACTCCGTCCAGCTGTGACGATAATCGAGATTCGAAAGAATCTGATAAACATCAGCAACAATTACAACGAAATATAGGCAAATCGAGCAATTTTGTCGGAACTTTGTCTAGAATACACGAAAATATAGCGAGCGTGGGCGCTTTACTTTCCGGTGAACGACAATCTATAGATGGGAGAAATGGCGCTTCTTCTTTACCTTCGTCTCCTGGGCCTGAGAAAAAGATGAATGATAAATTTCCTGTACTTCCGCAAGGACTTCAAATCGTGTCGAAGCGAGCGAAACAATTCGAATCGGGACGACTTTTGAGCGACGACGATGAACCGACCGGTGATCGTACTAATCTTTATCGAAGTGAACTTTCAAGATTGTCGAACAAACGTAGCGTACCAAATGTTGCTGTTCGGAAAAGAGAATTCGAATCGAAAGCCGAAGCTCAAGAACCGAGGAGATTACCACCTGTATCGACAAGGGAAACTAAATCTTTGGACAGTGGTGAGTCTTTTTATGTAGTTATTTATTTATTTTACTTTTTTCTTTTTCCTTTTTATTATATTCATATAATTCTTATTATATTCGTATAATATGTTTTATTAATCGTAGTTTTATTTTTAAAATAAAAAAAATTACGATAAATAAATATAACGAACAAAATGAAAAACACAGAGAAAAATTTTACACGTAGATAATTATATATTTCTCTTATACGCACCTTTTCAAATTTATTATCCATTCTTAATATGCTACTGTGAATATTTAGGTAGCGGATTAAAAGGAAACAGAGTAATTCCCATAGGCAGCAAACAGATCCATTGTGAACCGCCAATCAACTATAATACCTTAGAAGGTAGAAGAGAGAGATGAATTGGTTAAATGTTGTGTTGCAGTGTCTCTCTCTCTCTCTCTCTTTCTCGCTCGCTCGCTTTCATTCACTCTCACTCTTGCTCTTCCTTTTTCCTTTTCTAACTTAAATTCATTCGTTCACTTACTTTTGTCTCAAATTTTATTTTTACACTTACATTGTATTCATCTTTTATTTTTTTATGCTGTTTTTATTTATACATATCGCACAGATTTTAATGTTGTGTCGTTACCTTGCACGAGATTTATTTATTTCATAGATGTACAATGTGATTCTTTTAAATTCAAAATGTTACAGCGTTGAAATATACTAATATTAAAAATATCATTTCAATTTCAAAAATATTCTAACGTTTCTAATGTTAATTTTTATGTAACATTTCCAGAAACATCGAATCCAAGAATCATAGATGGGGAACATGCACAATCGAGAATTCGTAGTAATAGCGCAGAATCATGGGAATCGACGAGTGCGAATAACGTGTTAGAAACTGCTAGGCATCATTGGTCACGAAGACAGGACGACACTGAACGAAAGCGTAATATAAACGGAAATGATGATGGCATTTATGTGGATACAACTAGAACTAGCGACGAAAATACGATAATTGTCGAGAAAGGATCTAGAAATCAACAAGATGATTATACGCAAATCATCAAAACTGAACATGGTTAGTTTTTCTATAATATTAATCCACTTAATTCTCTACTTTATTCTTTTCATAATTTCGATAGAATTAAATCATTCTATTTATTAAATGTTATTATATCAATTAATTAAAATATTCTTTGTATCTCGAAGGTATATTACCATCGGATAACGATACGCACAATAACCAAGTTGTATTCAGACGACAAAAGAATACGCAAATCGGTAAGCATATAAAGCATATAAAATATTGATTAATATCGATGGAATGAATTCTTTATTAAAATAATTTTATATTTGTATGATATAAAATTATATATTATATATATGATCATTTTATAGCAGATGAAGATCGTGCCACAAGAAGAGTGTCTTACTTAAAAGCAACTTGGAACGAAAGAATCCATGTTGATAGTGATTTGGAATTAAGCGATTACGAGCCTGTTATTCATACTTCTAGAAGGTAAATCCTCGAGATCACTGTCGCGATAGAACGAAGCTTTTAGGTCTATCCACGGTATATTTGCGCATTTTCTGTCACGTATGAATATATAACTTTCCTATGCTGTTTGGAGTGTGGACTACTTGCCTGTCATAGTATTATCGTAGTAGATCAGTCGCGAGTATACATCAAGTTCTGCCTCCGTCCATATTTTCAGCATTCATAAGAGATGGCGGCTACCGTTACTTCCAAACGATATAGCATCGCTTCGTCGCATCTTCGAGGAAGTGACTCAATCTGCAAGTTTAAACAAAAATATTAATCGGTGAGGATAGTACATGTTGAGAAAAGCATAAAGATGCTGCATTCTGTTTTCCCAATAATCTTGCCTTTCATCGCGTTTTTTTACTACGTGCTCGTCACATTTCAACGTTTCTGAATCGCAACATATTAATAACTTCATTGCTCGATTTGTCTGCTTTTAACCAGTAATCACTAATAACTAATCGTTCGTGTTTGTAGAACCGCGTCTTAATTCTTCCTTATAATTAATTTTTCGTTTAAAGATTTTTATTTACATAGATGATAGGTTGCTTCGAAGTAGAGCTCGGTGAAGCGGTAAAAAAAAAAGAAAAAAAGAAAATGGTTGATTTGTCAAAACGCGTAATTCGTTCCTTTCGCTCTATCGATTAGCTTAGAGAAAGAGTTAGAAATGCGTTTTCATTGAAAATAATTTATTAATAAAGAATTTTCCTAAAAAGTACATTTAACCTTTTCAGCGGCAACAATCGGGAACCAACTGTCACGGATATCGTAAAAGATGTTGGTCAAATGGAACGAGAAGGACCTCTGCATGTAAAATTTACCGTATTGGATGGAAAGGTAAAGTTATATTTCATATTGTATAATTGTACATGATAATGACGTTATTATTTCGTATAATTTATTGAATTTCAGCGATCTTCCGATCGTTCGTGGAAACAGTTGTGGGGTATTCTTCGTGGACCTATTCTCTTCTTTTACAAGGATCGTCAAAATCAGGTATTTTAAAATGCATTTTTATACCGATTTTAATTTTATAAAAATGATATACTATTGCGTTTTTACACGTTTGTAATTTCCAAACGTTTTTAGAGTCCTTCGTTGGCCTGCGACGGTGAAAATGTAGCTCAAAGCGTGGATGTAAGATGTTCCCTTGTAGATATCGCAGAGGATTACACGAAACGTAAACACGTGTTACGATTGGCCAATCCAAACGCAGAAGTTTTACTGCAGACCGAAGATGCAGCATCCATGGCACTTTGGTTACGAGCATTACACGAACATGCTGCCGCTGAAAAACCATCTGTAAGAATTTAAGCTTGTGATTTTTAAAAAATTTTTTTTTAAAAAATAAAATATCCATAACATTAACTATTATAATTTAATTTCATTTAATTTATTATTTAGGAAATTGCCCAAAATAGCACTTTGAAGCAACAAGCTGTCCCACAAACACCAGGACCTACGAATAGTTCTTCGCCATGTCAAATGAACTCTGTAACAATGACAGTATCGACTAGTAGTGGTAGCGGTAGTCAACGATTGAGTCCTCTTCCAGGACACAAAGGTATCAAGAAATTAACTTCCTTTAGGAACAGATCTCCGACCGGACAATCGCCGATAAATAAGACTCGAAAACCGAGTCAAACGATCGATAATTTGGTTTCTCCAAAAACTAAGACATGGAAAGGTAGAGTCGCAAAACAGTTACGAAAAATGCACGGTCAAACAGCATCTCCTTCATCCCCAACCACGCAATTACCACCAGAGGGTGCTACTTTTAAAGTACCACTCGAACTCTGTCCACCGGTAATTTTTATAATTATATATATATATACTTTTTTAATTTTATTTAAGACAAACTATCGTGTATTTTATAAATGATTAAACAAATTTTTTTTTATTCGTGGTCACAGTCATCTTTCTCAGAATATGTACCATTGATCGTCGAAATGTGTACCAGTATTGTCGAAGCGAGGGGTCTTGAAGTGGTTGGCATTTATAGAGTACCCGGTAATACCGCTGCTATTTCACATTTGACAGATAGCGTGAACAAAGGTTTCGAAAATATCAATCTCCAGGTAAAATAATGTATATATGTATTTCATATATGTTTGTTGTGCATTTATTATTTAATTAATATAATTTATTCGATTATTTATTTTTCTCGTTACTGTTTTTTTTAGGATCCTAGATGGAGCGACGTAAATGTAATATCTTCTCTTCTTAAGTCCTTTTTTCGGCAACTCCCGGATTCGTTGCTTACTGCAGAATTATATCCTATGTTTATCGATGCTGATAAAGTCGAAGATCCCCAGAGGAGAATGACAACTATAAGAAAGTTGCTGAGAGATCTTCCAGAACATCATTTCGCAACTCTTAAATATTTAATGTTTCATTTGAAAAGAATAGTTGAGCATAGCGAGGTTAATAAAATGGAAGCAAAGAATTTAGCCATCGTATTCGGCCCCACTTTGGTTAGAGCAAGTGGTTCTCGGGACAATATGGTTACTATGGTTACCGATATGTCGCATCAATGTCGGATCGTCGAGAGCTTACTAAACAACGTACGTTAGATGCAATTTTTAAATAAATAAAAATGATTGTTTGCGAAAACAGAAATACGATTTATCTTTATTTCAGGTTGATTGGTTCTTTTCGGACGATGATTTGGATGATTTAAGTAGATTGAGCGTTAATCTTAGTCTTCCAGCAGACACTAGCGAAATTGAGACAACTTCCAGTAATAATCATAATCTCTTGTTGAACAATATTCAGAAAGTCGAAGGTACGCATATGCACGTTTTGTTATATTATTCATTTCAAATTGAAATAATTGAATTTCATTTTGATTTAAATAAAATAGGAGTACGTGAAATGGCATCCGCCAAAGACATCGTGTCGTCCATCATATCCGCTGCTAATCGAAAAATACAAAGAAGGAGAAAATGTCAAGATGAGACGGATAACGAAACTCACGAAGTCGATAAGGTTTGTTTGGATTTGAGAGATGTGATGTATTTAACGATATTGACAATTTATATTTAATCTCTAATTAATTAAACTAATAATGTATTGGCTAAATGTTGTAACAATTGTTTTCATGTAAAGCCGAGGATGAAGCAAGATACGGAAAATCTACAAAATCGACGAAGCATGGCATTGAACGAGAGGCAATGTTCGGTCAGTGAAATCGTTTTGATGCACGAAAATCAAAATCAATCGAATCGTTCCATCGATCGTTCCACTGATCGATCCGACGATCGATCACCGACGCTCGATGGTGTTGCACATGCCAGCACCGATGATATAATAGCCGATTGTGCCATTACCAACCGTGATATGTTAAATAATCACGATAATGTCGTTCCTTCCGAAAAGTCAAACAAATATTTAAATCGTGCAATAGAGTCGGTTCCATCGATGCAATCACCGATTCATCGCTCGACCGTCTCGTCGACTTCGGAGTCGTCCCGACTCTCTAGCGAGACTGGCCTGAGCTGCTTCGACGCAAGTTCGACACTTTCGAGTGCCTCGAATGACACCAAGCAAAGCAACGACGAGATCACGATAAGAACTTACGCTGGTTTGAGCGCAACCACTCAAGAACGTATACGAAGATTCGAACAGGAGACGAAAGCGATGCTGCAGAGAGATCAAAATCGACAGAGGCGAGAAGCTGAAAGGAGAGAGGAAGAACGGCGGAGAATCGAGACGGAATGGCAATTGGCTAAAAATGAAATGGAAAACGACGATTTGCTCGATAGCATAGTCGACACTACTGTAATGACGCCTACCACTTATCTTTCATCCGCGACGAGACTTTCCAACTTTAACGATAAATCTTATCTCGACATCGGCTCTCGATCGACTGGTCGAGTGCCGCATCTTTCGATAGCTGTACAACAACAACCTACGTCCGTTAGACGAGTATCGCTACTCGCAAACGAATCCACTACGATTTTACCTCAAGAAAATATTTCTGACAGTACTATAAAAAAATTGAAAACAGATACCGAAGTAAGTTTTATCATTATTCTTATCGTGACTATAAAAAAGAAAAAAGAAAAAATATGATTCGTAAAGGCGTGCGAGAAGTGCAAAGTATCGAAGCAAATTGAATCGTCTCGTGATCGAGAGGTCGATGCTTTCGTAATTCGAGATTATTGAAATTCCAGAGAATTTCGAAATTTGTTGTTTTAATTCCATCGAATTATTCTCGCATACCTCGAATCATTCGTAAATACGAATTTTTGCTTTCAACTCGTAACGTAATTTTTCTAATTTTTTAAATATTTTGTAGCAAATATTGGAAGGTTCAACGCTATCGTCTATTCGTTACGGTAGCTTAGACTCTCTGCACGAAACGCACGAAATTTCTCAATCGTCACTTTCGCCGACCAATCAGCAACGGAAACCGCTTTCGAGCGATGTCTCGGACGATGGTTAGTATTGGTAGTACAAGAATTATTTTTCTTTAATATCTCGGTCGAATCAATATCCTGTGTTTTATTCTTTCGAAACCGATTCGAAACTTGAACCGAAACTTGTTTTTTTTTTTTTTTTGATATTGGTGAATATGTTGTTAATTATCGAAAAATGTGGAATATGCGACACATGCAATTTCAATTTCAACGACTGTTTCGACACAGAATTATCATGAAATTTATAGTCCCATCCTATGTACGTATTTATTCTCTTTATATTTTTCTCTACGTAACGTTGCTTCTGACGCTCTCGGTGAGTGTAGCTGGATCTTGTTTTCTACAATGGACTCAGAAGATTCTGACCATTAACAAAAAGCTTTCTAGGTATTCTTTATTTGTCTTTTACTATTTTTTGGATAATCTTAAAAAACAAGCAACTGTCCAATAGACATTGCACGATAGACGCATATGGTTATTTTGTTTAAATTAATCTTATTGGTTTTTCTTCTTTCTTTCTTTCCTTCCTTCCTAGTTTTGTTTTGTTTTTTTTTTTGTATCATCATCGTTTCTTCTTCCGTTTTCAGATATTTTCGCGAGAAATCAATTGTCAAAAATATTTTTCAAGCGTGCAATAATACACTGCATTTTACATTACAATATTTGTATTAAGCACGTTATTATGAGATTCTCTTCTATTTCGTTTATTTATAATATTCTAAATCATACCATATCCAAAGTGATCTTCTTTTTATATTTCGTGCATGCGTTCGATCATATGTATCCTGATGAATATCGAGCTTTAAAACTCGAGCTTGAAATTGGTCGATCAGTCATGACATCGTTCAAAAAAATTTCAATGTGCATATTTAATCGTATTTCCTTTTTTCTCTCTCTCTCTCTCTCACTCTCTTTCTTTTTTTGTCTTTCTTCTTTATTCTCGATAGGTTCGATTATTTTGACCTAATTTATTCGATTATTTTCGTTAGAAAATTTTTTCCCTCGCACCTGCATGTTACCATAAAGACGACGAGTATAGTAAAAAGCGAAAAGAGAAACGAAGCTATTCATTGGATAGCCACAAGAATTTTCGTTGCAAGCAATATATGCTTGCGTGCTTAATCGCTCGCTTTTAGTTTTTTTGACGTTGAAACTGCCTCCTGCTCGTTCTTCAAACGAATCTCACCTAAAATCTCGGTGTATTACATCCACCATTATTACAGTATTTGATCTTATATGATATCTTTCGTCTCCCGCATTTTTCCTTTCTACCTTTCTTTCTTCGCATTCCGAAAGGACTATGTTGTTCGTAAAGCGCGCGCCTCGTTTAAAAACAAAGAGTGGGGGGAAGGGAAAAAAGATGTCGAGAGGAAATAAATAAGGCGTAAGTGGCGCTTCAGTAGCATCATCGATAAAATGGATGAAAGGAAGCCGAGAAGGTGTGTAAAGATCGAAGAGGGGCAGAGGCAGATCCGCTTGTACTTGTTGGATCGTTTGCTCGTTTGTCACTGCCAGAAGCTGTTTAATACATGTTTCTCGATGGGGTGTCGATTAGTGACGATGCGAATGCGTTGAACACTCTTAGGCAAACGGCAAATCCCGGTTTCTGGTGGTACATATCATCTCACCTACACGGTACCGCAAGCCCCCCTGGCCCCGCCTCGAAGACAGCGGGCCCATCGCCAATGCCGATGTCGATGCCGATGTCAATACCACTGTCAATGCCAATATCAATGCCGATGTCGATACCAATGCCAATGTCGATGCCAGGGCGAATGCAAGTACCAGGGTCAGTGTCAGACGCAGACGACATCGACGTCGTGCAACGATCATCGACACCCATCGCATCCTCTTCGAGAGTACCGGCCTCGGAGCCCTCCGAATTCTCGGAGCCTATCGAGCCCGTCGAGCAGTCACCACCGCGAGGGGTGTCTTCGGGCTCAGGGGCCGGATTGTCTTCCAAGACTTTAAACAGATTTCTTCGAGGTAAATTACTTCGTTTGCCAACGAGAATAAAGCCAAAGTCGCAAATTGCTCGACTATGATTGGCTATACGAATGGCTTTACACTCTTCATTTCCGCTCAACGCACTTTTAACAACGACACTTTTCACCTTTTATTCTTTCTCATTATCTTATCTACCGTTTCTCTCACTTTTATCGATTTTTTTCGTTCGACGTATCTGTCGATTGATTAACGCGGCAAATGCCTGCCTGCTTATCCATATCCATTCACTTGTTCATTTATTTATCTGTCTACTACTTGCCTGTTTCTATCTATCTGCTTACTTGCGTGCCTGCTTGTTTGCTATTTGCCTATCTATCCACTTAAATGTCCGTTTTATCTTTTTTTTTTTTTTTTTTCTGTTGAATTATTTTTTATCGAAATTATTAAAATCGCTTTTCTCTTAAGAATATTTTTTCGGTTAATCTGTCATTTTTATTGTTCACCTTTTATTCTTTCTCATTATCTTATCTACTGTTTCTCTCACTTTTATCGATTTTTTTCGTTCGCCGTATCTGTCGATTGATTAACGCGGCAAATGCCTGCCTGCTTATCCAGATCCATTCACTTGTTCATTTATTTATCTGTCTACTACTTGCCTGTTTCTATCTATCTGCTTACTTGCGTGCCTGCTTGTTTGCTATTTGCCTATCTATCCACTTAAATGTCCGTTTTATCTTTTTTTTTTTTTTTTTCTTTCGCTGTTGAATTATTTCATATCGAAATTATTAAAATCACTTTTCTCTTAAGAATATTTTTTCTTTTAATCTTTCATTTTTATTTTTCACCTTTTATTCTCATTTTTTTCCACTTGTTTTTTCCTTGTTTTTTTAATATTTTAAATTTCAGATATTTCATTTATTATTATATATAATATACGCGGTGGAAAAAAAATTATTTCAATTATTATATATATATATATATTTTTTTCAAAGATTTGAAATCTTCTCGCTCGTCTCCTCGAATACGTGAAGCAGGAAAAATGGCTGTGATTAAAATAATTTTCATATTTCGTATTGTTTATATTTTTCATATTCTTTTTTTATATTTGTCTTCGTTTTTCGTTCGTCGTCCTTTCTTTTCCTCCCGCGTTTTTATCCTGCGTTTTTCTCTACGTATTTTTTCTTTTGTGTCTGCTCTTCGCTTCGATCGAGATTTTGCCAATCGATTAAAAATTATGTGGTTTCGTTGAATTTGAATGTATCATATAAATAGGTATGGAAGAGGAATCGATTAAATGAATATAAAAGGTTTAAATGAATATTCAACGGCTGTTTGCAATAAGCAAAATTCAACAATAGCAGTGTTATATATGGAAATATTATCAGACTTGCAGTCACCGTTTGTTTTGTTCATCCATCTAACGAAGCCTTTCTAATGAACGATTCAATTCGTTATATGATGCTCGTTTTTCTGTTGCGCGAACGCAACCATAACCTTATTTTGTAGTCGAGAACGATCGATCACTATTCGATGCTTTGTGTGTGTTTCTCGTTGAGTCATTCGCTTTCGATTAATACTCAGGCACCATAATAAGTTAAGATGAACCGTCGTTTCTATTAAAACGAATTGATTTAATTATAGGTAGTGATCTCTTGACCAGTTTGACGACTACGTTCGATCGTAAATGGAGATCCCTGGTAAACTCGTCGAATCAAACGATTCGTGGAACTACAATGGAAAATTTGTCCTTAAGCGACGAGGATGCTGTGATAACACAGAGAGATTCACAAAACTTGCGAAATCAACGAGGAGGAGGAGGAGGAGGAGGAGGAGGAGGAGGACTACGAGAAGACAAGGATCAGGAAAAAACGACCATTCCTCAATCTTCTTTCTCGATTGAAAGTTATCGAGATCCGAGTCTCCATAAAATGTGTATTGAAAAGCATCAATATGATCGGCAAAAAAATGCAAGTATCCGACAAAGTCGAAGTGAATTATTGAAATTAATGAAATACAACATAACCTTTTTTTTTCATCGATGCCACGTAGACACGTGCATTCGATCAATATAGCTTAATCACTTACTCATCAATATTATTGTTTGCTTCATTCGTACAGGATGCTCCGGAAAAGGATACGGATTCATCGGTAACGGAGAATAGTAGCGTCGATCGATTGGACGACGATTCCATACCGGACAACGATCGAAGTGCTATCGCGCGAAAAAAGATTGAATCGAGCAAGGAAACGGTTTATGAATCATCTCCGGATACGAATCAAGCGCAAGAATACTGTAGAATCGAAAAAGAAGCATCGGTAAATTTATCACAAAGTGACAAAGTAGCTGATGATGCGAAAGATTTGAATCGACGCGATGTCGATTCAAATTATTCGAACAAGCTTGAAAAATTTGAAAGTCTAACAAAATTTGAAGTGAGATCACGATTAAAAAGATCGGAATCTTTGAATAAAAGATCAGAAAATACTTCGTCCAAATTAAAAAGATCCGAAAGTTTGAACAAACATTCTGTCGAAAGGCTCTCATCTCCGACCAATGGCAAGTTGAAGCGATCCGAAAGTTTGAACAAACATTCGGAGAGATCTGATTCTCCGAATAGTAAATTAAAACGATCAGAATCGTTGACAAAAACTGAAAAAACTGAATGTAATATTAGCAAGAGGCGACAATCTGTTAGAAAAGACAGCGCGACAAAATTAAAACGTAAAAATGGTATGCCCGAACGGTCGATCAAACGTAGGCATACCGTAGGCGGTACCAAGGACTTTGATAAAGTACATTGGTTGGATAATAAATTGCAAGTCGAGGCTGAGAGAGTAGTTAAAAATGAGTATAGACCGAAGAAGAGTCAACTCAGAACAAGTTCACCGGATTTAAGTACCGGTCGTATTGGCCTTACCGATGCTAGTTTTCTTATAGAGGTTAGCTTTCGCGGCCCAAGTAATGTCGTTTTTAACGTGACTAATGCTCGTCCACAGTCCTTACCGGATACTAGTTTAGCTTCCAAAGTGTTTAAAGTACCTCTCGAGAGTCACGTGTAATATTATGTAAAGTATTGCATTGAAAAGGAAACAAGAAAACAAAACTGCGAAGATAGAGAAAAAGAAAATATTAATTAATGAATTAAAATTCGTTAAAGCACCAACGTGTTTCTTTTTCATCAAGCATTTATATCGCAGCGTGTCAATTATTTACGTATCGTACTTGTAAAAACGTGATCGTGTGCAATTTTTTGTATATATAACGTATATATAAATTATACAAATTATCGAATGCTCTGCAAATGCGGGTGTGTATGTGTTTACGTGTATGTGTGTGGTGTGTGCATGCGTGCAGCGTATATTTATATACGTACGTACGCGCGTACACTCTTTATATCGCTACAACAAAAAAAAAGCGTTATAACCCGTAGATTTTGTATTTCTTAATAATGCAAAAATGTTTTCACGTAGTTTTATATTCAATTAAACATATCGGCTGTGTGATGTGTCGATCAAATTGATTGACATTTATCATTTGTTTATGCATTTTAAACATATTTGTAGAGTAGCAACGATATCCACGATCTACGTTGCTTTTTTTCCCCATTACGAATATTATTCGTTCCTTCAATTATATACACGAATATAAAATAGACTGGATTTATTGATACATTTAATCGACGAACGAAATATGATGTTTCTTTTACTCGAACAATTGTGATTTCATTCTTGAACACGATTGATCTATAAGAAACCATGGAATCACGTAAGGCAGCTTACGAGCCTGACAATCTTAGACTTGTAAGATTTTCTTAAACTTGTAAATACATATTAGGTATGTACGCAAATGAAACTTTAAGCCAATGGCAAAGCGATATTTATTTTAAATCCGTAACAATCGTGATACTATTATTTATTGAATATTCGAAAGAGATACCTGAAATTTGAAGAACAAGAATATGGATATACATGGTATCGAATTTGTAAATAAATCTTATATATTGCTTATTTAGAAAGCAATCAAACATTTTAATTGAATGTTGTACTGTAAACCCTTTATTTCCTTGAATCCTTTTCTTTTTCATTTAAAGAAATATTTATTTCCAAAAAAATATGTACATTATTGTCTTATAAATAAGTATATTGTTCGAGAATCGAATGTTTATTACATCAGGCAAGTATATTATTCTACTTGTCTTCGTTTTCAAATAGAATGAGAAAAAATGTGAAAAATGAACGAAGGTAGATGTTTTTTTAAAAGGAAAAAGAATAAAATGACATATTTTATTTTGTCGTTCAATAATTTCCAAACGAGTGTAAAAATTTACATCTTCTTGGCTTTCAAAGATTTCTCACAAAACAAAAAAGTGGCAAAAGAAGTTCAAATCTAATCGTTTCTAACGTGCACGTGTAGCATTACATATTGATGTGAGATGAAATTTCGAATGAAATTTTTCTTTTTATTGACAGACATTGTTGTACGTACTTATGTTTATGAGCATCATTCATAGATGGCACTATGAAACATCCGATAGTACAAGAAGTATATTATTTGGCTTCCATTTTCAAAAGTGTTCGAAAATTTAACTCTTAAATTAATTAGAAATATAATATGAATGTAATAAGAACAGAAACAACATTAAAGCCATTGAGAAAACGATTGTGCCAAGAATCAAATGTTCGGTTAATGAAACTTCGTATGTAATAATCAGTTATAAGTTTAACCAATTAATCTATTTTCCTTGAATTTTTTATTAATAGATTTAACTAGATAAATTTGTTATTTTCTTAAATCCTTCCATTTAATTTATATTTTTTACTTTTCTTTTCTTTTCTTTTCTTTCTTTTATATTTTTGTTAGAATTTGAATTCGATATGGAAAAAAAGTTGGGGAAAAATTGGAAATCGGCTGTCACTTCGAGTTATTCGAAAAATAAAAAATTTGAAAATGTAGTACGTAAAAAACGGATTGTCCCTACATCGTCGTCTTTGTTAACCGGTGCATCACGCAATTGCATTTCCAAGTAAGCGTTGAATGAAAAAAATTCGTGATCAAAAGATCATAAGTAATGCATTTCAATGATAATAATGCATACTCCATAATTTCTAGATCAGGAACAAGAACTACTACAGGTGTCAGAACTACTACAGGTTCAAGTTTGTTTGAATCAGTTACTGGTAGCACTATTCTCGGTAAATTTTTTTTTTATTCTCTCTATTTTTTCTTTATGCTTGTAAAAAATTGTTTAGAAAATTTTTAAACTAATTAATATAATGCGATTAAACAGCGTTAACAACCGGCCGAGGTGATGCGAGATTCGAAGTTGGCATGGCAGCGTTGAATGTTCGTTGTTCACATTTGATCCTTTGTCAAATCAGCGATTCACAGACTTATATTAATACGTTAAGCAAGTTGTATTTGTTTGATCCAATAGAAGTAAGTCTGTGAATATAATTTCTTTGTATTATATGATATATTATATCGTACAGATTTCAACAAATCTGATGAAATTTAATGAATTTAAAATTAGTTGAATGCTTTCTGGATGATATATTTATATCTCTATTTTTATGCAATATATTATATCTCTTCTACATTATTTTTAGTCGATTCTTCGAGGATAATATATGCTTATTTCATTTTAAATATTTTAGGTTTTGATGCCAGATACGATGTGCGAACGTAACATGAGTAGAAATATCCTGTACAGTTTAATAATAGACAAATTTTCTGAGATAGAAATAACAGCAATATCTCGTGTACACTTCAACGACACAGTCGGTTTTGAACGAATAAAATCTCTTTGTAATCCCATATATTCGTCGGTTGAACTATTCATTAAGCAAAAGTATACTTTGAAACGTTAATAATTTGATTATGCATAATATATCATTGATAATGATTATGAAAATACGAATTATATAACAACATTTAAACATGGGTTACAGGTATTATGCATTAGCTGCAGCTGCATCGTTATTAAAATATGTCGAATATGCTCAGCGTATTGTTTACACGCCAAAATCTATGAAAATTGAATTTCAAGGATCACCAAACGCTACCAATATAGGTAATAATTATGAATGAGAAGAAATTATGAGAAATATGATAGAAAATATAAATACAAAATTCAATAGATTTGGAAAGCGCACGGAGCTTGGAATTAGTACAGTCGCAATGTGGTCAACGAAATATGAGTTTGTTAGGTACCTTGGATCGATGTTCGACGCCAATGGGTAGAAAACTTTTACGCGCGAACATACTTCAACCTCCGTGCGAAGAACGCGTAATTCTCGAACGACAAGCCGCCGTTGGCGAGCTTGTATCCAATCGTTCATTACGTGCACTTATTCAGGTTAAAATATTGATTTTATCAATTATATATTTTTCTCAAAAATATCTTTTCAATATCTTAACTTTTTAATTTTAAAACACTATTCCAGCCTATCGTACGACGACTTTATGGCGCTGATAGACTTTTACTTTTATCGATAACTCCTGTTTTACATGAAAATAATGTGCAAAATGCGGAGCAAAATTTAAATTATGTTTTATTATTGAAAAATTTATTAGATGTTATACCTGAACTAGGAAAGATATTGTTAAGCGGTGAAAGCGATTTTTTTTGCAAAATTCAAAAGGTTCGTTGCAAACATTCCATTAAATTTTTTACACATCTGTATTTACGAATATTACACACAATCCATTTAATTTATTAATTAATTTTAATTTAATATTAATTAATTTTTATCATTTGTTGTATTTCTTTCTTAGAAATTGGAAATTGAGGAATTCCGATTAATGCAAGAAAGGATTCTTGAAATGGTACATCCAGATGCAAGATCAGTAACTGGATACACATCCTCGAATATGCAACGTTGCTTCGCTATCAGAGCAGGAATTAATGATCTGTTAGATATCGCTCGACAAACTTATTGCGAATTAATCGACGATATGAAAAGTCAGTATCAAATTAATGATATCTTTTTTTTTTTTTTTAGAGAAAAATAACGATATTTGTAATATTTGAAATAACTCATCTTTGTTTTCTTTTTGTCGATAGTTATGGTGGAAAATTTAGCATCCAAGTATAAATTTACTTTATCTTTAAGCTGCAATGCTAATCTTGGTTATCATATTCAAATGATATTACCTCGAAATTCAAATGCTGAAATTTTTGATCCACCATCTGAATTCATAGAGGTAGTTATGAATAACGTGTACTAATATTTAATTAGCAAACAATTTTTCTCAACGATACATGTAATACATAGGTACGAAAGAGTAAAAGAGTATATACCATGACTACAAATGCGCTTGCAACATTGAATCAACAATGCAAGATTGCATGCGAGGAATTGCATTTAATGAGTAATGTGTAGGTATAATAAATCTTTTTTTATCTAATTTTTGTGAACGATGGATCTTTGTTTTTAATTCAAAATAATATTTATAATTATTAATTGTACGTTAACAGACTCCTTTGCGATTTGCTGCAAAACATTAGAGAATACATTGGCTGTTTATTTCAATTGAGTGCGGATATCGCAGAACTGGATCTAATAACATCCCTAGCTCAAATCAGTTCTCTTCCAACATACGTGAGACCATCGTTTGGCTCAAAATTAGAATTAATTGATTCGAAACATCCAATAATGGATATTTTCGGTCTCGACAGTCCCATACCCAATAATATTGTAATTTATTATTTTATTAAGTAGTTTATTTAGTAATTTATTATCTTCGATATCTAATATTATAAATTATTTTCACATTATAATTTTTTATCTATTCTTATCTATTATAGTATGCTTCGATACCTAAAAATCTATGTATAATTTCTGGACCTAACATGAGTGGTAAATCGACTTATCTTAAACAAATTGTTCTATTGCAAATAATGGCACAACTTGGTTGTTTTGTACCGGCTAAGCAAGCAATGTTTCGTATAACAAATCTTGTATTCTGCAAGATAGTTACTCGCGATGATATTGAATGCAATGCATCCACATTTTCTCTAGAAGTAATTTTTTTTTTATTTAAATACATTTTTGCAATCATTGCACTAAAAAAAGTAAATTTCTTATCTTTTAGATGAAAGAAGCGCAATATATTTTGCGATCTATCACACCAACTTCACTGATTATTCTAGATGAATTGTGTAAAGGTACTGCCATCGAAGAAGGTGCTTCAATCGCGTGGGCTATATGTGAAAAACTTTTAAATACAACTGCTTTTATTTTTGCTGCGACTCATTTTTTTAATCTAACCAAATTAGGAGATTTATACTTCAATGTGACGAAGTATCTATATTTTTTTTATATATTATTTATAAATATTTCTCTAATTTTCACAATTGAATATTTTTTTCTTTTTAAATTATCTTTTTTTAGTCAATATTTTGAAACGATAAATGTTCAAGGATCACAAATCGATAATTGCCATCACCGATTAACTTATACTCATCGATTGAAATCTGGTGTAGCACCTACTGATGATTATGGTATCGTTTTAGCTGAATTATCTGGTTTACCAAAAACAGTTACAGAGAAAGCACGAAAATATGCTTCTGAACAAATAGTAAGTATAGTATGTGTATATATATATATATTATCTTTTATTTATCTTAATTCGTATTATTAATACATTATTATTTATATTTTACAATATATTATTATTAATATTAACATTATTATATAAATTTGTCTATTTTTGATAGATTATTGATCGAATTACAACTAAATCGGATATATGGGAAAAGACATGTTATGCCACTTTGATTAGTTTGTACGAACTTTTAGAAAATGATGAGTTTAATTGGGAACAAGTTACTTTGCTTATTCAAAATTTCCTAAAACTTTGGAAACAAAAAGGTGGCAAAGATAATGTACAAGAAAATGAAAAAATGACAAACGGAAATGAAATTGATATACAGGAAAACGATAAGAGTAAACATTCCATAGATATTATATCTGACGTAACGATAGATTCTAAAACAAATTTCGATGAAAAGGA